GGACTGGCTGGCTGGCATGTGGTGCTGGGGGATTGAACCGCGGTCCCGGTGCTTTGTTAAGCTTGTTCTAAGTAGGTGCTTTAGACCACTGAGCCATCTCACCAGCCCCTATTATGGGATTTTAGTAAGACAGATAATCTAATCAGAGTAAATATTCTGTATATGATAATAAGAGTAATAGACACAAGAAATTAGGAGCCAAAGTAAGGTCAGAGAAAGGTGGACTGACTTCTAAACTTTGTCTTTTTAAAACCAAAAGTCCAAGAGGCTGGGGACATAGCTCAGTAGAATATGCACTTGCCTGGCAAGCGCAAGGGCCTGAGTTCAATCCCTGGTTCCTAAAAAAAAAACCCCAAAAACCAAACAAACCAAAAGTCTGAAAGCATAGCACACTAGTTTAAAAACTAAGAGACACCTAGAACTAGTCACTTATCAAAAGTCACTGTGGATGCATTTATGATGGGGTATCCAAAAGTATTCATTTGGTCAACCCTAAACATGAGGATTGGGGGCCAGGGAACTGGCTCAGTGGAAAAAGTGCTTCCCAGGCAAGCACAAGGGCTTGAGTTCAATCCTCGGTTCTGCCAAAAACAAAACAAAACAAAAAAACCCCAAAACCATGAGTGTTTTTTTTTATTTAGAACAGGGTCTGACTCAGTGATTCTTCTGTTTCAGAAGAAATTGCCTACGTGCTGGGATTACAGGCCAGCACCACTATACCTAGTCTCACTTGTAGTTTCAGCATGCCCAGGGTGTGGGGCCAGCATGACATGGGGGGATTGACCACCCCCTGCGGCCCTCTACCTAAGCAAGCCAGCCAAACATGAGGATTTTTTAATATTTGATTTTGTTGGCAAGTTGTCAAGTTTTTCAAATTGCTTTATAGGTTATCATGGATGAGGAAACACATGAAAGAACTGAGAGCCCACAGTTTTGCAGAGACAACTTTGTAATACTAAAAGGAGGCTCCACTCCATGGGCCAGCTAACTTTTCTTGTACACGGCTAGAGAATAAACGTTTTGGGCTATAAAGTCTGTTACAACTAATATTCTGCTCCTGGAAGTTGAAGACAGTCACTAAAAATACTAAATGGATGTGCATGGCTCTGTTCCAATAAAACTTTATTTATAATATAAATTATACAGTGACCTGGATTGATCCTTAGGCTGTGGTTTGATGAAATCTGCTCTGATCTGTAACAGAGAACCATATTAATACACTAAGACCATGTTTAACACATACCTATATATGAAAGATTATTTAAAATTCATGATTGGGGGGTGGGAAGATAGCTCAGTAGAATAAGCACTTGCCTGGTAAGCACAACGGCCTGAGTTCAATCCCTGGTTCTGAAAAAAAAAAAAAGCTTCTCTTTAAAAAATAAAATAAAATAAAATTAATGATCAATGGGAGACACTGTTTCCAAGTCTAGCCATCCATGAGATGCACCTAGGAACATATATTTTACTGCTAGATTTCCAAGTCTCACCTCTAGAAATTATTTTTCTTCAGGTCTAAGAATATTTTTCACTCCTGAGATTCCTGATTAGAAAAACAAGTTGTGAATAGCAGCACCAACAATGAACTGCACTATGAGAAGCACATACAAAATGGAATTCTAGAGATGAACCCTTATTAGGGTGAAGGTGAGGTCCCAGGGACCAGTGTCCCAGGTCCACTGTCACATGTTCACCTTCCCCTCCAGAGCTGGAGAGGTGAGTCTTAACCCCAGCTTTGCCATTAAGTGCTGTGACCCCGAATAAGCCACAGCTTCGGAGGCCAAAGTTTTGTGAAAGATGGCAGTGCTAGAATGGAGTCACGCATGTCAGGCTCCAATTCGAGGACGTAGCGTAGGGCAGTCAGAGAGGCGGCACTCTCATGCGCACATGCTTATGCTCCTAACGATTACAAGAACTTCCTGACAAGCCCAGCAGACTTCCGCGGAGAATGTCTCTGCAGGGCCTCTGTTCTGCAGCAGCCTACTGGATCCTGGGCGGGGGCACCCTTATTAGTCAACCTTTAACCCTGTTTAACCCTTAAAAGCCCTTTGCTTCCCCCAATGATGGCATATGTATTCCAGATTGATACCTTCTCATGATTGAAAAAATCATTTTTAAATCATAGAGAACCATTCTGTTACTTAGATTAACAAGTTACCTCATCTCTAACACCTAGCAACAAGGGTGGGATATTAAGTCCCATTCTGGAAACTCTAATCTTTTGTCCTGTCTTAGATAATGAAATGAACAGTTCAAAAGTGAGAAAAAATTACAGACTGTGGCATTTAGCTGCCTTCCCTTTAGCAGGATTTTTCCCAAATGGCAAACAAAACTGAAACAATTTTTTTTCTGTATTTTAGGGAAGGGTCTACAGGGTGTTCAAGGTCTCACTACTAGATCGGACTCAGTGATTTTCCTGCTTATAGCTTCCCAAGTGCTGGGACTGCAGGCACGCACCACACCACCTGTCTTAATCATGGTCTCAGTGCACCCTGCAGGCAGGGCTGGCATGGTAGGCCAGGGGATTGAATCCCTGGTCCCTGTACCTGCTTGCAGGTGCTTTAGTCCACTGAGTTATTTGGCCAGCCTTTGAAACAAATTTCTAAAGGGCGATGAGTTTTGATATAAAGATAGCCTATTCTTTAGGTTTTTCTCTGATGAAAGAACTTTAAGTAATCATCTAGGGAGCGATATCAACTCTAATTTTCCTAATACACTTCAGTAGTTTTTGACCCACTTAACTGAGTGCCTCTTTGATATGCTGGCAGTTTAAAGATACCAGTTCAGAATAATGGAAAGGTGGTCAAAAGGCTGGCCAGAGTTTGCACAAGGCTTTGTGGGTGTGCTAGTCAGCTTTCTCTTACTGTGACAAAACACTTGAAGTAATCAATTTTAAGATGAAGGAAAGGTTTATGGTCTCAGGGGTTTGAGTACATGGCTTACTGGCCTCATTACTTTAGGCCTGTGGTGGTACAGTTCATCATGACGAGACATATGGTAGAAGAGCCCTGTTAACCTCATGGTAGCTGGGAAGCAGAGACAAGAACAGGAAGGAGCACAGTCTCACTATCCACTTTAAGGGCATAGCCCCAGTCACCTTGCTACCTTCCATTAAGCCCCACCTCTCCAGTACCTCCAAATAGCCATCTCAGGCTTGGGACCACACTCTCAACACATAGGCCCTTGGGGACAATCAAGATCCAAACTAGACTCGTGGAGATTCCTGAAACGTGGGAATTCAAAGGGATAGCTGAGTTTTTGCCCTTTAAGGAAAACAAATTTACGTTTTTAATATTGCGATCTTAACAGCATGTGATTGAGGCTAAATGTTAAGAAGATGGAGACAAAGGAAAGGATGAGAGCTGGTTATTTTGAGAGCTTGATGTATACACCACAGTAACTATGATCACTGATATTGTACCCATTAAAAGTCCTATAAAAGGGGCCGGGGAGGTAGCTCAGTAGAATAAGCACCTGCCTGGCAAGTGCAATATCCTGAGTTCAACCCCCAGTAAAACACACACACACACACACACACACACACACACACACACACACATACACACACACACACAAAGTCCCATCAAGGGATGGTGGTGCTGAGGGCCCTCAGAGCCCCTGATAACAGAAGTTCTCAAAAGCTGAGTTCTCTGTTTGACACTCAGGGCTCATTATATCCATATACACCTTCTATACTTCAGTACTTCATGACAGTGTTCTTTATTGCTTGCCTTGAGCTCTCAATTATTATTCCCAAAAGCTCTGCACTAAGGATTAATGCTTTATGCCAACTTTATGAATTATAAATAATGAATTCCCAGGATCAGGAAATGGTCAATGGAAGAACTTAAATAATCACAAGGGAAAATGAACTTTCACATTCAAATCATCCACCAAACAACAATAACAAAAAAGCTCCCCAAAACAAAACAGAAAAAAAGAATTAAAGCTCTCACTCACAGTAGTCAGTTCTGCAATATTGTGACACTTGTGTTCCTAAGAATCCTTGCTTTATTTTTTTTGCAGAACTGGGAATTGAACTCAGGCCATGCGCTTGCCAAACAAACACTTATTCCACTGAGCCATCTCCCTGGCCCCCAATCCTTGCTTTAGACAAAAAGCTACAATAGAAAACATAGTTCCTATGAAGGACAACACCCCAAAACTTGACCAATAACATTTTTAAAAACCTCATAAAAATAGCAGCACAGTTTCAAACATGATTAAAAACGTAGGAAATATAAACACCAAAATAATGTTACCTTGAAAAACGCCTAAGTGGTACCTGTGACGGTGGCCCCTGATGCAGGTCCTGGTTATTATAAAGTGGAGGGGGAGGCAATCTCACATCAGGCAAAGCTGTGATGCACCACAGCACAAGTGGTGGAAGTGTGGGAAGATGTCTGAGGTGTGCGTACCTTATGTATCCCTATGTGGCTGAGTCACTGGTGGTGCTACACTGCCAGGACATCCCATGTGGGTGTCGCTTTCTGTTTTGACTCAGTGTTCCTTGTGGACCAAACTGCTCACACAAAACATGAAAAATGTGCTGCTTAAATTATCCTCTACTATTTTAACTGCACTGAAAAAGAATATTTCTCAGAACAAGGGCTATAGTAGCTGTACACTGGCTCATCTAGCACGATGGAATGACAGTGGAATCCCCCAAAATCCCCTCGCCATCCATGGAGTCCTGGTTAAGTTTCCCAAACTTCAAACACATGGAACCAAGGGTGAGCAAAACTGGAAGTAACCACAGGCCTTTGCAGTACTGAAGAGAGTTCTCTGTGCACCTGGCCGTAAGTCAGCTTTGTCGTGGAAGTGATTATTTATGGACAAAACCCCTCACACACTGAAGCCAAGCCTCTAGAAAGAACAAAGATTCAATTTCACTTTTACCTCTTCCCAGATAAGCTACAGATCCTCTCAGTAGTGGGGATTTACAATCTGTCTGCCGCAGAGAGAAACACAACTGACACAGAGGAACCACAGCTCCACCCTGAGAGTCATCAAAGTGCTTTATTTTGTAAAGCCTGGCTCAAGACTGGAGTGTATTGTTAGCACTAGGAGATAAAGGCAAACTTCCTCACTCTGTCCAAACAGCTTACAACAAAAATGAATGACAGAGACGTTACAGACAAAAACAAAGCATTTGTAAACTTCTAAAAGCATACAGAGATTGGCCACAAAGGAAACAGTTACTCAAATCATGACTGTATACTTGGTCTTCACTTCAGGGTGTCTTATTTGTAAGTCTCAGGTCAAAGGAACCACAGAACTTCAGATACCAAAATGGATTTGATGCCAGAATTAGTAGAGGTGACGGCCGTGGTGGTGAGGGAACCAGAGCATAGCACTGATTAATTTAAATACATAAAGTCCAGATCTGTGCAGTTACGTTACAGTGAGGTCAACATCCCTGGATAGCAGATCTACGCAGTCAGTCCATAGCAGTCGGGTGGTGTCGCTGCGGGCTCCTGAAGTCGCTGTGAAGGCAGCCACACTGATGGGCACCATGGTACCCTGGGAGCCCAGATGTGGAGTGACAGAAAGGCAGTGTGGCAGGGGATCTGTGGATTGTAAGTGACTACCTAAGGGTGGGTTTTTCTTCCTTTTCCTGGAACTGCCTAAAAAAACCATCTCATGTTCTAAATGAAGAGTTTTAAAGGCACAGCTTTAGCACAGCATGTAAGTTGATAACCTACTCTAAGCAAGTCTAGTATTTATACTTGTCACCTTTTAGAAATTGCAGGAAAGCTGGTAGATACATGATTGATGTTGGAGATTTTTAACCTGATTAAACACAATCAGCACAGTTTAGGGCAATGAACTTACATAACCAGATTTGAGTTCAATCTTTTTCTTTAAAAAAAAAAAAATCAAGTTGATAGATGTACATCTGGAGGAAACAAAACAATCTTTATCCTTTTATTGTAAAAGACTGTCTATCATGTACTTTGAACAAAACACTCAAAAACATGACTGCAGGACACATTTCAGGATAGGACAAACATTATTTCACCTACACTGTAAAATGACTTTACATGTAAACTTCAAAAATCACATGCTGTATATTAAATTTTTAGATTCAAAAAATCCCTGCTTTCCTAATAATGTAAACAGTAAAACTGAAGGGTTCAGTTAAAAGGGATAATTCTAACAAAATAGCACTGTTCAAAACAGTGGTCAAACATAAACCTCTTAGAATTCAGATCTGCCATCGGTCACAGTAGCACTGAGAGCAGGAGATGTACCCACCATTGCCCCAAACTATGCAGCTTTCAGGGAAGCTATTTTTTTGTTTTGTAGCATGAGTTCCTACATTCAACAAAAGGTGTAACAGTGAAAGAGGCTCCAGGCAAGAAGAGAGAAGCAAGCAGATTCCCTGGACTGTTCATGGAGGTGAAAACGTAGACAGAGTCCTGTGGCATTGGCTTCTTGGGGAGGGGAATTAATCTGGGACACTGAGAACCCCCACAACATGGGGATGGGACCCCGAGCCTGTATACTCGGAGATGTCGGCATTCTTCCGTCCAGTGCTGGGGACTGGTGACAACTATTAAGGAGTGTCTGCAAGTGGGGCAGAGTGGAACATTTGCAGTGATTTCTTTTTTCCTTTTAATCTCATTATTATCATCATCATTATTATTATCTTCATTATTATTATGAATACTGTCTCATCTCTTTCAACTCAAAAAAATAAATGGATCCACAGTTTCTTGGGTGATGCCGACACGACGGCTGCTCTGACATGCATTTTCTTCTGCGCTTCCCATGTGCCCATTCATTCGGCCACAGCTGGAATCTGAGGTTCCTTCTGATTCAAGCTGATCAATTTTAATTAATTCATTATTTTAAAATGTGCACATGAGCACATGTGTGTGCATACACGCACATACATGGAGTCAGAAATAGCTAGTACGATGCTGGAAAGTATCAGGTAGCTGTTAAAGCGAGTTGCCCCCAAGCAGTCATCTTGGCCTGAAGATGTAAACAAGGAGGTTGCTTCCTGCAAGATGAGTGCTTCATTGAGTTTGGTTCAGTTCTCCTACACCAGAGCGCCTCTGTTCTTCCCACGTTCGTGCCCACCCAAGGCTATGTAGGAGGTTACGTCAAGATGTGACCAATAAAGTCCAAAAAGCGCTTTGAATACTGTTCTGGATTCACGGTTGAGATCTCCGCTCCAGCCTGGATGGTTTTAAAGGAAAAGTAATACTGATATAATGTTTATGATTTCCCCATTACTACTCTGTATCTCTAGCTATTTCCAACTGCAAGTGAACACTGAGCTAAGAATACATATTTTCAAATGGTGCTGAGGATGGAACCCAGGGTCCTGTGCATGCTAGGCAAATGCTCTACTGCTGAGCTGCACCCCAGCCCTAAAGCAAATACCATTTGCATGTAAGCAGCCTCTGCTCTTAAATTAGAGCTCAAAATACTTTGGTCATGAATCTGTGGTTGAAATGAGGCAAACGTTGGTGGCAGCACCAGAGGCTATTATCACATATCCGTGATAGTTGTAATTAAAAAATCCAATTAGCCACATTTGGGACATTTTTATCAACAGTGCAATCTGTGGCTTACATTTGGAGGCATGGGAACAATGCCTTTAGTTTACAAGAATGCAGAATGGAGATACTTGGAAAATGATAGAAACCTGAACATCTGATGAAGGGAAACCCTGAAGACAATGTCTAGGATTGGGTTAATTTCCCAGGACCCTCTGAAGTTTGTGACAGAAGAAAATGGGCTGGTACTCAAGGACAAGGGGCAATAGAGCAGGGACAGATCAGGGGAGAGCTGCCCAGGCTCCTCCCCAGCACACGGCTGGCTGTATCTCTGTGGGGTCCCAGGCTGCAGCTGCTTCTGCGGGGCCCAGGGTGCCACTGCTCCCCTTTCCCAGCAACTGCACAGAGCAGGGAGGCCCCGCCCGAGGGGTCCCTCAGGGTGTTTCTCTTTTTACATGCGCATGCTGGCCAGCAATGCACGCAGTTATTGGCCAGCTTCCTGGGCTGCAAGGGCAAGGCCAGAGTTTAAGTTGCCAGGTGGTATTTTTTATATATACCTCTGGGGGCAAACTTGTAATCCTGAGGCATGAACTGCTGGTGTTTCCCCACAGGGGAGCCACTGAGGGCAGAGAAGGGCCCTCCACAGCAGCTCAGCACAACACTCCTTTGCTAAAAGTAAGGTTTTGTTCTTGAAAGCTGTTCCTGACTTGAGGCCATGTAGGATGCTATGGAGTTAAACTGCTAACTTACTTGAAGACTACCACAGAGCCTGTCTGGCCTCAGCGTGTTCCAAACGCATGACATGTACTCCACAGAACCAACACTTGGGAACCCCCTACCCCACCCTGCTGAGTCTTTCCTGGTCCACCACACATATCCTCCCAGAAAGCCCGAGCAAGCAAGGCCCTGGAACCCTTTATCCACGGAGGGAACTGAAGCTAGAAAAGCATCTCTTCAAAGCTTCCGCAGCACAAAGGTGACAGGATTCTGCCCAGTTCTGTCTTGACAAGGAACCCATGGTTTCTGGTTAGAGTTGAGCATCAGAAATACCATGGGGCCTTCTGAAGACCCCCTTCCTCAATCCCTGAGCTGGACTCAACCTGTAGAGGAGGGAGTATAACTGGTAAATGCAAAACTTGAAAACAGGCTTGGAGCCATACCTGAAGCTGCAGGTACTTGGGAGACTGAAGCAAGAAACTGCAAGCTCAAGGCCAGTCTGGGCAACTTAGTGAGACTATCTCAAGATAAGTGATAAGGTGGGAGAGATAGCTCAGCACACTAAGCCCCTGCTTAGGCAAGCGCAGGGACCTGTATTCGGACCTGGGTACCCCATGCTGTGCCAGTTCCACCCTTGGGCATGCTGAGCCAGTGACCTAGTCTGGGCATGGTGGCACACACCTGTAATTCCAGTGCTGGGGCGGCTGAAAACAGGAGGATCAGAGTCCCAGCTCTACAGTAAGACCCTGCACCAAATAAATTCAAAAAACTATAAAAGGGGCTGGGAATATAGCTCAGTGGTAGAGCACCTGGGCTTTGATTCCTAGTTGTTAAAAAAGAAACCGAAAGGTGCACAGCAGATGCTGATGTGAGCTCTATTCATGGCTCTTGTGCACAGACCAGGGAAGGCCTTGCTCTGCGTCCTGCACGTGGCACAGTAAGTCGGCTCTTGAGAGATGACAAATACATCTTTGGCAAATGGAGTATGGCTTTAGGCTGGCTTCATCTCTAGGATGACAAAGTGCCTTTAATTGAACTTGTTTGTTCTGGCGGGTCTTGGTTGGCTCCAAACAGTCTGTGAGAGGCACCTCGCCTGCCAGTGTGAGCCTGTCTCATCTCTGGGTCCCAGCTCATTGGTGAGAGGTGGGAGCACAACATGTGCCTATAACAGACCTGAGATGGACATGGCCTACGGGGGAGTTCAGCCAGCACAGGCCCGCGAGGTACCCTCGCTCCCCTGCCTGCAGTTTCTCCTGGTCATCAGGGCACACACCAGTCGCTTCCTCACAGGCCCGTCAGGGAAATGACAGCTAACATATGCCTAGAGTAACAATTCCGAGCAAGGATGACAAAGGTGATGAATTAAAATAAGAGACTCTGATCTGATAGTCAAAAGATTTCTATAACAGAAAAAAACACAATCCAATGGGAGAAAGGAAATACAATCCTCACATTTGGAGAATCCTGCTTCAGCCCAGAATATTTCAGAAGAGAGTAAACTCTCTGTAGCACTTTCATTTCTGGGGTATTTTTCAAACATGGGGTAGAGTCTCAGTGTTCCAGTAATGCACGAGGCTGTTGAAGAGGTCCCAGTGTGGAGAGCCACATGGCAGAGACTGTCCAGGGCTGCAGCAGGCTGAGGAGAGCCGGGGTGGTGGCCTGCACAGGCCAGCTCTGAGTCCTATGCTAGGAAATGCTCCCCTGGGAAACAGCAGCCCCCAGGGATTAAACAGTGGGCAGAAAAGAGGCAGGCAGCAGAAAAGGGGGGCTCCTACCATCCAGACAGCAGCAAAGATCAGACACAGAGGAGGGTCTACTGTGGTACTCACCCCGTGTTTAACAGTTTTTGCAGCATGGGCAGCTTTTTTCTTTGCATCATAATGAGTAAGGATGTCAATAATGGCCATGAAGTACACCTCTTTCCTAGGCGAATCTGTAACAATGAATGACAGCTGTGCAGTGAATGAGACGAACGTGGTCCCCTGCCTGGCTCCCTGGACCCACTCCTTTTTCATATAAGGATCTTAAAAAGGGACATTATAATCCTAGGATGCTGATTGGTCCATGTGTGGGATTGAGTGCTTTTACTTTTACTCATTAATCTGGACTTTCTTATAGTGTAATTTCTTTGGTGCAAAGGGAACACTATTTTTAAAATGTTCTTTAAAACCAGTAGAACAAATTACGCTTATTAAATCTTTTCTACTATTAGGTGCACTGCTTATAATTCTCATTCGATATATTATTAAATCTGGGTAAAAGATTGTATATATTACCAACTTTTCATATTTTAGTGTTTCAGATATAAATGGTAAAAATGTGCTCTACATCTCATTTTCTTTCTTTTTTTTATATCTCATTTTCTGCAGAGAATAATTTTGATAAGCAGCCTGATGTAGTAGAGCACACCTGTAATCCCAACATTCAGGATGCTGAGGCAGGTACATCACTGTGAGTTCAAGGCCAGCCTGGGCTACAAAAGTGAGTTCAAGGCCAGCCTGAACTATACAGCAAGACCCTGTCTCATCCTCCCTTCCCCCCTAAAGAGGAAAACACAACTCAAACCCACTTGATGCACCACCTGAGATTTAAAACAATGAACCATGTGTGGGCCACTTTCACAATCCTCTGTAAAATTGTTGCATTTTTTGTGGCTAAGGTAAAATGTGACCTTCCTTCAAACACCCAATCACCTAGATGCTGGGCATGGAGGGTCCACTGGCTGAGAAGAGGTCACAGAGCTCTTCTGGAGGAGGACAGGAGCAGACAAGGGGTCCTCACACCACGCCCTGGGTCATGGGGTCACACGTGAGCTCAGGAGAGTCTCTGATATTTCTGACATCCTCACAGAAGATAGAATGTTCAAATTTTTTTCCAAACATTTCTCTTATGTGTTATCTGTGTGTATTGTTCTGTTATGTGCGTGTTGTGTAGTCCTTTAACACACACTTGTCCCCAAATTGATGTCCTTGGACCCTGAAGGATGGGTCTCAGAGGATAGCTAACCTGGACCTGGGCTGTGGCTACTACAGACCAGAATGCAAAGTTCAAAGCTCTCTGTGGGCAAAAAGCACCAACTGTAACTAAACTTACTCTCATGGCATTTAATTCCATACACATCAATGTTGGGGTCAAACTCGCCGGGAGCCAAGGGTGGTGAGCTGTTCAGCGTATTCCCGGGGCTGTCTGGAGGGGTGCCAACTGGGTGGGTGCCATCACTCTCCCCCTCCTCCTCCCCGTCATTCTCCTCACACTCCACCTCCTCCTGTTCAGCTCGCTCCACGTCGTGAATGCCCACCAGAAGGCTGTAATCCATGAGCTTCAACTGGGCAAGAAACTAGAGAGGCGGGGGGTAAGAGGTCAGTTATTTCTGAATTGCCAAGATTTAATGAACGTCTATGTTAGGCAGGAGGAGCACAAGTTCAAACCCAATCTGGCAACTTATCGACTTAGTAAGACCTTGTTTCAAAATAAAAAAAATATAAAAAAGAGGGTGAGCATAACTCAGTGCAAAGCTCCTCAGTTTAGTCTTTAGCACTGCTAAACACACACACACACACCCCAGATTTAATGAACAAAGTCAGGAAAACCTGCACAGCTGCCAGGGCTCGGGGTGCTGGATCTCCTGAACGCAAAGCTGGAAGCTGAGGCCTGCATGAGCCACATGGAGCGCAGACTACCACCAAGACCAAGGAGCTGCCGAGAGACGCAGGAGGCTGCTCCCCGGCAATGCACACTAGCTGAAGGGAAACTCCAGGGCCTTGCCCAGTAGCTTCCAGCACAGCCTCTCCACACGGTTTGGGTGGGTACTCTGAAATCCAGCACATGGACTTCAGGTGCTTATGCTGTCCGTTACCAAGAAGTCAAGTCCCAGTGTCCCAGTCATGTCAGCATTTTGGTGAGTAACGCAGTCCCAAAAGATGCCAGAGATGCTCAGCTTCCACAAGGCACAGCAGGTACCAGGTGCCGTCCTCTCTTTGCAGTCTGGTCCAGTCACCTGAGAGCATGCTGTGAGGCAGGCCTGAGCTTGTGTGCGTGCCTGTTCCTGTCTGCTGAGTTCTTTCTTCTTAAGCAGGGGCTGCACCCAGACACTTAGCATCAAGGAAGTGTGCTCTTCTCACTGGCCCACTGATGGGAATTGGGCTGGGGACTCCCCGGTCCCTACCGGGCTGGCTCTGCCCAGGGCCCAGTTCCACCCTGACTGCAGGCTGGGGTCTAGAAAGCGTGTGGCCTGCAGCACACAGCACCATGCCTGCTCAGGGTGCAGAGCAGCTCACGGGGCTTAGGCTCTTCAGACAGGATTTGGGTCCAAGGTTCCCCATATACTCCGAGCACACACACATATCTCTTGAGCTTCTGGCTGCAAATGAAATGAGTCTGAAACGTAGAGACCTGCAGGGTGGTTTCTTTTTTATGAGCCTGCCAGGACTCAACCAGGTCTCAGCCCTGAGCAAGAAGCCACACTCCCCCGAACAAAGACAGCTCTGGGGTGCAGGCCTGTTCCAACGCCCCTAGCTGCCTGCTTCCCAGGCCTCCACCTGTCCATGGCCCAGGAATCTTGCTCTCCTCACAGCCCATCCTTAGCTCCCAGTTAGCTGCCTTCTCTGACAAAGCCCACAGCACCAGCTGAATGCTCCCGTTTGTTGAGTTGAGAAGAAAGAACGCATACAGATCTTATATTTGGGTCCTGAAATGAGGTAGGAGAGCTGTGTTTATTATCTAAAAGCAGACAGAAGCAAACCTCTCCCCTAAGCAGGTGCTGAGCTCACATGCAGCCTCATACTTTTATGGGGCTTCAGAGAGAGGAATGCACTCTTCTTCCTCATGACTTCCCCAGGCTCCTCACTGTGATGATGGCAGGCTTGCTTCCCATACTCAGACGCTGCTCAGCTGCCCACAGTCCTGGCACGCTGGCCCAGAGCATGAGGCCAGGATTGTGTGGGGGCAGCTGCCCGGTCCCAGGCTGAGAGTAACATAAGAGGGCGCTGCTTCCAACCTCTACCAATACAGGGCCTGGCCCCAGCCCAGGAGCTGGAGCTCTGGTCTGCAGGGCTGTGGCTCGAGGACATGGCAGAGAACAAAGAGCCACAAGAGATGGTGCCCAGGGCACAGAGCTATAAGGGTGCACACAGGAGCCCCCAGAGTGTGTACCGCACCACCTCCAGGCTGTGCTCAAGCAGCTATCCCTAATGTTGTTCTTTATACTTTAGAAGGAAGACAATGTGTTAAAATCAGCTGGTCTGATTACATTAATGAGCTCTCTGAGTCCCTGGAGGGGGTCACAGCTCCATGCCTGCTGATGAGATTCTGGCCCTGCTCCCCTTTGAAGGGCCTTGTGGGCCTCCTGTCTTAGAAGTGAACTTGGAAAACACTGGTCAGAAGGATCTGAGCACATTCTGGCTGTCTGGATGTGTGACCGGAGAGGTGCTCTTGGTGGCCCGCGTCTGCCCAGCTGTTGTCCCAGGTCTCTGGGAGGCTGTACCTGGACCTGAGCACAGCCTCTGGGCCAGTGTCTCCTCGGCCTCCTCCACTGTCCCCTGCCATTTCCAGCAGTTGGGGCACAGATGGAGGTAGCATCACCACCTTGAGTCCTACATGCTGGTGTGCAGTGGGGGTGCCTGGATGAGCCTGAGCAGTGGCAGGGGTGGGGGAGTCTTTCTCCTCATCTCCACTCCTTCTGGTGCCTGGGGCATCCTTGTGACCAGCTGGGTGCAGGCTAAACTTCTCCTTCTAGCCCTCCAAGAAGGAAAAAGTATTTTCAGAATGCAAATCTGGTCATGTCATGCATCTGCTTCAGTCCTTTCACTGTGGTTCAATTTCTCACAGAACAGGAACAAAGCTCTCACATGGCCAGCTTGGCTCCTCCCACCTGCACCGAGCCCCTCCCCTAGACCTTCAGGCCTCAGCCATGTGGTGCCTGTCAGGGTACCCAGACTGCGCTTCTGATGAGGCCTGTGGCTTGGCTGCATTCTGCTGGCGGATGTGGGTGTCTCCTCTTCTAGCAAAGCAGCCTCAGGATGGGCTCTGGCTCAGTGTGTCCCAGACTTCGAGCACATGGGGGTTCAGACCAGCAAATGCATGGTGTTCCTCCTTCTCCACCTCTCAACACCCTCTAGCTCTTCCTACCCCCTTCCTTGTCAAACTACCCAAACCAAGATGCAGCAAAAGCAAAGCAACCATAGACACTTCGCTTGGCACCCCTGCTGTCCTGACTGGGACGTGCTTGCTCCAATTACTACAGAAGAGGGCTACTCCCTGCCTCTCATGGGCAATGCAGCTTCAGGTCCCAGAGCTAGGAGTGTCCTGGGCTGAACCTGGCCTGCTGGTGACCCAAGCAGGCAAGTTTCTGGGCCTCCGCTGTCCCTAGAGCCCCAGGCCTGTGGTTGGACCCTGCTTAGACTCTGCCTCTAATAAGGAAAAGGCACAGGGCTGGTTAGTTTTGAGGGTAACCCACAAAACCAACAGTGAAAGACAAGAGCCTCTCAGGAGCGAAGCTGTTCAGTGGGCCTGGGAAGACAGGAAACCTGGGTGTCACACCCGCTTTCAGATCTGCAAGGTCAAGGCAGAAACAGGACAGCAAGGGTGGGATGAAGGAGATGAGAGTTAAGGTTTTGCAGATAAGACCCATTTATTCTTCTTTAAAGGATCTCCTTCCTTTTTGTGTGGTGCTGGGGATTGAAATCATGGCCTTGAGCATGTGAGTCAAGTGCTCTTTCTCTGAGCCACATCTCCCGCCTCAGACAAGCTTAAGAAACCAAGGCAGCTGGTCATGGTGGCATACGTCTGTGATCTTACCACTCGGGAGGCTGAGGCAGGAGGATGGCTGTGAGTTCAAGGCTAGCCTGGGCTATCAAGTGAGCTCAAGGGAAGTATGAACTAAAAAGTAAGACCTCAGAGCAAAAGAAAACAAACAAAAAATACAAAAGAAAGAAAGTTAAAAAAAGAAAGCCATGCAAGTCAGAGACGGTTACGTCTTCCTTGTCTTGTGTATTCTGTCCCTGGAGAAGCCCACCTGTTTGTACCTTGGCTATTCTAACTGTAAAATGGGATAATGGTACCCATGTCATAGGCCAAGCCAGAGCATTTAACACTGCTGAGGCAAAGAGAGTGGTGCCCTGCATGTGATGATGGCACGGCTGTTTGTGCTGCTGACAGTGTGGTTCTGATAGTGGCCTTTTCCCCTCCAGGGGAGACAGGCTCTGGCTGCTGGCCAAGACAGATGCCTGGAAGCCTACTGCCTCACTGCTGCTCATCTTGCATACTGTTCTTCTGCCTCTGCTGGAGCACAGTGGAGAGAAGCAGGGTGGTTTATTCAGGAATCATGATAAAGACGATTCCTGCCAGGCAATCACAAGACTGCTGCGGACTAGAAGTTTGCAGTGAGAGCAGAGCCAGGCAGGGGCTCCGCTAACACTGGACAGTGAGGACACATCTGCTCCACCATCATCCCTTTCAGCATCTAAACGCATGTTATTTATTTTTCAGTAGGTAAGATTTCAAAGTGTGCAGATTTTTATCTTTAGTTTCCCTGGTTTTCCAACCTTCTAAGGTCTTTTTAGTAATAACCTGATCTGCTGTGTCATTCTCTAATCTGATTCCTTAACTAATTGTATTAAATCTTGTTTTTGTTGTTTGTTTTTGGTGCTGGACACGGAGCCTAGGGCCTTACCATGCTAGGTGTCTAAGCAGTGGGTACAATGTGTCCCCCTGTGGCTTTCTGGAGTTCCATCAGGGCCACGCAACCAAGGGGCAGTGAACAGCCCTTCACAATAGGTTCAAAGGAGCTCTGTCTGCTAACATCACTAACACGCTTGTTTACTGAATGACCATCTCCTAACACATCTGAGGTGTAAGTTAAAATTTTAGCTGGCCCTGTTTAACATCTGACTACCTGTTAAAACTTACAGTCTTCCTCTTTTGGAATACTTATCAAAAACAGCCTCAGCTGTGTTTTCATAAGCATTTTTAACTTTCATTTATATCTGCAAAGGAGGGCAGTCTCTGCCAACCTCTACCTGTGGTCTGAATTTAATGGCTTCAAGTCTCTGAGTATGTAACAGTGTTTCCCAACTGTGCTTTTGCATCCCTCAAACTGGGGTAGTAGCAGTAGCTACACCTGAGGAGCTGTTCTAGCACACTGGGAAGCTGAGGCAGGAAGATCACAAATCGGACCTTGCCTGGGCAATGTAGTGAGACCCTGTTTCAAAAGTAATGAGCCTGGGCTGTAGCTCTGCAGGAAGAGCCTGGCTTCAATCCCTAGTACTGACAAAAAAGGTGATGAATACATGAGAATGAGGTTTTATGTAGTCCACAGATGTTGGCTGTCAGCTGCTTGAGGGCAGTCACCCTTTCAACATGACTGTGCCACCACAGAGCTGAGACACGTGGTGAGGGGGCATGGGGAAGAGCTGCAGCTGGGCACCTCGGCACAGTTTTGCAGGTTTGACAGGAGGATCTTAGTGTAAGCCAATAGAGATCAAAACCACAATCACAGCTGACAAGAGGCAGGGAAGAAAGCAAAAGTGACCCACATTCTCTATAGAGCTCTGTCTCTCTGTCTTTGTCTCTGTGTCTGTTTCTCTCTCTCTCCATCTATCCCTCCCTCCCTTCCTCCATCCCTCTTTGCCTCCCTTTTCTCTCCTTTCTGCAGAAAAGGCATGCATGCTTAATTAACATGAAAAACTGTCTAAGCCAAAGCACCCAGAATCATATCAAAACAGAACAGAATTTCTATTATATAAAGAAGCCACTAGATTCTCAAATAACAATTCTTTTACAGAAAAAAAAAACCCTCAGATTGTTTATTGAACTACAACAAATTTAAGACTTCTACTTAATCATTATACAAAGAAAACAAACAAAAACTGCTCAAACCTTAGCAGTCAGGTCAGTCAGCTGCATTAAGAAGCATGGGACTGAAGAAAAAGGAAAACCAGATTAAATTCTGGTCTCACTTGTCAAGATCAGATGTCAAGCTACCTCACCATAATTACCTGCTTAAAAATTTAATGATGCTTCTGCATGAATTTTAAAACTAAAGACACTGTTATCAGCCATTGAAGATTTTTTTTTTAATGAAAGAACACTTTATAATCTGTCTCCATTTCAACAAAACAGCTAAGTGTGAGAGCCATGTACAGGATTAAACTATCCAATCCTTTAATCAACGACATTATTAGACACAACAAAAGGGGTAAGAGGATCCTCGTGTAATTCAACTCAAAGTCTGAACTGCCTGAGTTACATCATTTCTGGAGGCTACACATCATAGTGATACACAGTCAACAAAAGAAAGTGAAAATAATTTTGAGGGGTAGGTCATGGATCACCCTAGGGCTACTTACCATAACTGCTAAAATAATATTATTCTCATGATCAAAGATTTGTTGATTAACCAGTAAAAATTGAAAAGAATATTTCCCCTATGGTTACTCTACTTAATTATCAGTTAGATCAAGTTGATGCCAAAGTAAGAGGAAATAAGTAATATACATTTTAGCAGTAACCACTGACTGAGGAAAAGGCAATGCTGATTAGTAAAAAGAGAAAAAAAGTTACATACTAAAAGCAAACACCTATTCCTACATTTTAAAATCAGACACTTATATCCTTTACAAATAAATAATTATGCTCTAATCCAAAGACGCAGGTTATAAAGGTTAAAATAATGTAAAGTATTTCATTAAATGATCTAAAAATAATCAGTAGTGAACTTGGCCAACCTGACTGTCTTGCAATGAAAAGGGCTGTTAGATTAAAAAGGAAATTAAAATACTACTTCTGCCTTTGTGGGGAATCAAATGCATGACATTTATTCTTTGGCTCTAATCATTTTAATTGTTTTTGTTTAATGATATGAAAAAGAAAATCTACAAAGCTCTCTAAGCAGCAGCTCTTAGGATGTGGGGAACAGTACTTCAAAGTAAAAGGAAAAAAGTGTGCGCACTCCAACAAAAGTAACAGCCAAGAGAAACCTAGTTTGGTAATTGCCTAAATTAGAATTCTTGGCACCACCTTGTAACTCAACACATTTTTAAGAAAACAAATCTTTTACTGAGTTTATCTCTAAAGAATTGAGCAAGGATTTCAACAGAAAAGCAGTAATGCTTTTATACCCACCAAACTGATAGAATGAGGTGTATTTCTAATTCTCAAACAAAACTGTATTTATCAAGAAACATGTAGAGCACACTGAAAGCCCTCTGCAACACTCACTTCCGACACCCTCCCTGTGACCCGTGCGCACGAGCTGCCTGTGCTGGCTTCCTGACAGCAAGGCTGACCCTCTCTCCCTGGCTCTGGTCATGGCGCTGGTGGGAAAAGTGGTAAGCTCTGAGGCTGTGTTCACCAACACTGAGTCGTGATTCAGACGCTGGAATGACAGAACCGTAATAGTTACTGAACACTTTTTTGACATGCTCCACTATGTGACAGAAGCCAGCAAGTCTGGCCCCTCCTGAGTTCTCATGGCTGTGACCCTCACAGACTGGCCCCACAACAGAGGCAGAACCCAAGGGTGGCGCTGCTCAGCAAACGCTGACAGCCCTTTCTGGTGTGCATCATCCTAAAGCGAGATCATACCACACGCGGTGTATTTGTTTCTACTGGAGCTAGAGGATGTAGAACATGCCCGTTTGTGCCTTGGCTGTAGATCTAAACAGATGGGTTACAAAAGGCCTCAAAGCTGACAGCACTGACACTGACACAATGGCGCTGGCCTTTCTATTGATCTTTCTTACCTCGACATCCTTTTTCAGTTTTTCCAGGAACATCTTTTTGTTATTGTCATCAATATAAATCTTTTGGCCTTCATTAATGAAATCGTTATCCTTTAAAGTTGGCAGTTCTTTGGCCTAAAACAAAGGAGGAAAAGAATGAGAAAGCAGTTTGAAGAACACCTAAAAAACCTGTACACCCTCGGATCCTGGAAATTTAAATTTGCCCTGTTCACAGCAGGGGTCTCACCCAAGGCAAAGAAACATGAGGTGGCCTGAGTGCCACCAGGGGGCACCAGTGAGCTGCGACGGCAGGAAGCCTTCCCACTAGGAATGGAGGGGTACATAGGATCCATATTATACAGTATTTTGTAACTTGTCATTTTTTTTTATAAGACTGACCTGATCACTTTCTTCTATATACTCTTTTACAAAGAGCCTTCTAACTGTAAAATCTGAATTCTTGGAATTCCTTGTCAGAAACCCTCAACTGCCTGACTGGTACAACCCAACTTCATCCCTACCCCAACTCTTCAGCAGCCCCTGCCCAATCCTGTTTTAAGTAACGTATTATCTTGTCTCACAAAGGCCCTGACCACAGTCACATCCACTTTTGAGTCAGGGAGAATGTGCAGCCACCAGATCCTTGCCATCTGTCCTTCTAAGCCCTCCCGCTCACCATTCCAAGAAGGGAATTCTGCTCTCATGTGGACAATGTCAAAGGAAAAGAGCTGCAACACAAAATGCATTCAGATGAACACTTCTATTCTGTACCAATAACCAAGAGGGTGGTGAGCTGGGGAGTTAACTGCACTGCTGTTGACTGATGCTCAGTAATGGGGGCTGCCCCAGTGGGTGTCAAGGCAGAGACAGTCTGAGCCTATGTGGCAGCACCCATAGTACCATAGACAGCTGATTTTACAATAGTGTGGATTATTCCATTTCACATGTGCAATCTGCATCGCAGGAGAGCTCAGGAAACGAGGCAGTCTCCCCCATCCCAAATCCTTTCAGCCAGGTAAGGGGAATCCAACATAGGACACTGCTTTTCGCTGTGCAGTAGTGACCCCTAACCAGCTCTTTTCCCATTAAGTGTGAACCAAATGGAAAACAAAACTGTACAACGTTAACAACCACAGCCGAATGCCTTTCGTCTTCTTTTAAGTGTGTATTGTCTCTAATGTCTCATCTATTATTATTATACTCCTTAAAATAAATTAAGAAATACAAAATAAAAGGATGGAAAAATTATGGCTTAATGAAAGGAAGAATTAATGTTTGATCAATCTTGCATGCCTGTATCTGGTAATCTAAGCAACAAATTTGATAGCAATGTGTAATGTAGCAACCACTGTTGATTTTCTATTCTTGTCCTGAAATTCCACACCATTTGTATTATTTTATGTTTCTTTGTTTCTGTCTTTCTTCTTGGCATTTTAGATTTTTTGTCCTCTTTAAAATAAAATTAAAAAAGTCAAAAAACAAAACAGAACTCATCCAAAGAAACAACATATTCCCCTTACTGGTTCCTGTATTGTGTCCCAGAAAGAAAACAGCCAGGTGTGTCTACCGATCTACCCTCCAGTGCTTACACTAGACACCTCCTCACTTTACACTGTGCAGGCAGGCCTACTGACATGCGTCGAGACATACAGAAGTGTATGTATCATGCATTTCTAAACTAGTAGCTACAGCTATTCATCTTAACTTTGAGAAGAAAAACTTTCAAGCACTTTATAACTTTGAATTAGTTAGAACTACTTTCAAAACAACTACCCTCATAAAATAGGTGTAGCAAAGCTCAGAAACCCAAAGATTCAACTCAGTTGGCACTTTCTGCATTATTGTCACCTACAGGGATGATGATGCAAACAGGTCACAATTTCTACTGTAAAGGACTTTGCAGTCTTGTGTGGGAGAATAACATGAAATAAGGCAGCATAGGATCGGTGAGATAGCTCAGTGGACTAAGTGCTTGCTTAGGCATGGGCAGCGGCCAGGGTTCGATTCCTCGTACCACATGGGGCGCTGGCCCCGCCCCCAGGTGTGCCGGCCACAGAGACCAGGCATAGTGGCACATGCCTATTATCCCAGCTCTGGGGAAGCGGAAAACAGGAGGATCATTAGAAGTCTGAGTCGTGTAGTGAGACCCTGTACCAAATACACTGAAGAAAAAAAGTCTGGGGAATAAAAGTGCAATGCCATTTTTCAGAGAAATTTAAGATGGGCTTTGTTAGATAAACTCCCTACATCTGTCGTTAATATTTTTTAAAAAAGCAATAAATACAAACAAACCCTAAACATCCTCTGTCCGAACAGAGTGCCTTAATGTCAGTATCAATCACACCAGAGTACAGGGCTTTTCTATTAGAACTGCAAACAGGATAGTCTAGGTGGAAGAAATCCAAGATCCTGATGTTTAACAAAACTTATTCAGAGGGCTGTGAGATAAGCACCGCCCAACACACAAAGCAGTAACTGAGGAGAGGGCGCGGAGAGGGTACAGGAGCATGCTTTTTTCAAGCTGACAATTCGGGTATTTTTGTGTGACTATGTTTTGGGGATTGTGGTAGGTAGCGTTGGGGGTGTTAAGGATCAAGTTATCACACCTAAATTCCACAGCTCATTTTATATGTGCAAGAAAAGATGGGAGGGGGGCGTCTGTGTGTGTGTGTGTGTGTGTGTGTGTGTGAGAGAGAGAGAGAGAGAGAGAGAGAGACAGAGAGACAGAGAGACAGAGGCAGCAGAGACAGAGACAGAGAGACAGAGAAATGAGAAACCTGAAGGCTGAGATGACAGACCACAGACATGGCAGTAAATCACACATTAGAGATGTGTTTGTAACACAAGTCACATTAATGAAGATGAATGCCATTTCAAGTTCACCCTAGCAGAATTACCTCATGTGACAGGGAAAGTCTAATCCTACCTCATAAAACTCTGGACACCCTGTACTGTATTACCAAGCTTACTTGTGAATTTCACAGGCACTAGGGACATATTTAGATTGGATCAAGTTCAAAAGAGGGCAACCAGATTGGTTAAGAGACTTAAGGGCTTACTGAAAGGATCAACTGGCAAAGACGGGCCCTTAGCAGGGCAGCTGTGAGAGGAATCCAACCTGCCCCCACCATGTCTGCCTGGAGTGCTCAGGAGCATCAGCGTTTAGAGTCGGGAACCCCAGGGTCCTATCCTACTCACACCCCTTACTGTCCAGGGAGCTGGAGACCTTTCTGGGCTGCTTCCCAAAATGAAAAAGGGGGGGGGGGGAAACACTACCACAATTCATGGCAGCTACGAGTCCTGTGCTGAGCACTGCATGTGAGTCACCTCAGACACCCAGAAACTGCACCTATCCTTCCTGTCCACACCATACGGACGAGGAAACAAAGGTCATGAAGCTTAATGAGGGTCTCACAGCTTGGTAAGTGGTGAGGGTGGATGGAAACCCTGGCAGGCTCTTTTAGGTTTTTTTTCTTTTTCTTTTTTTTTTTTTTTGGTGCAGGGTCTCACTAAGCAGCTCAGACTTATAGTGATCCTCCTGTTTTCAGCCTCCACAGAGCTGGGATTACAGGTGTGTATCACCATGCCTGGGCTCAGTTGCAGGCTCAGTGTACCGGGGGGTGGAGCTGGTGGGACATGTGGTGCCAGGGATCGAACCCCGGCCGCTGTGCTTGCCTAAGCAGGAGCTTAGTCTGCTGACCTATCTTGCTGGCCGGGCAGCCTGACTCTTAATCAGTCTGCCAAGGGAGAGCTGTGCTGAGCAGGACCTGTTACTGTCATTACTACCATGACCATGACCACACCACCACAGCACCACTGCCACCATCCACGTGAGCATTACATACATCCTAGGAATTCAGAAGTGTATTATACACCTCTCTCTCTCTCTCTCTCTCTCTCTCTCTCTCTCTCTCTCTCTCTCTCTCCGTCTCTCTCTCTCTCACCCTGAGCTTGTCAGGCAAGTGCTTATTCTACTGAGCTATCTCCCCAGCCCCACATTTTCTTTAAAAATACTTTTTTACTTTTTTATAAAGAAATTAGCTGATCAAGATTGTCACCTAACAATGCATGATTCACATTCAAGAAAATCTTACTGCATTTTGATAAACTGCAATGTACCTCTGTGATAATGAACGACATTTACATTAGAAATGCACCTTTTTTTGAGTGGGGCAACCCACTAAGCCCTGAGTTAGCAAACTTACTGAACTGTGGGTATAAGTGCACACAGAGTGGAGGCCTGAAAAGTGGCAGTTACCGGCTGCAGCAAGGTCTTCATGAAGCGCTGGCTTCTGCATGCCTCGTAAACCCTGTGTGGAGTGTTTGCTGCCAGGAGTTTCCAAGCTCGAGTCACTGGTTCTGGCTCTCATGGGGAACTATGAGGGCTGACTGCAGACAGCACAGGGCCGTGGCTTCTCGGCAAGGAGGTAAATACAGCCCACTCTCAGTTCTTGCTCTGAAGTTGATTGTCCTGCTGGTCCCACAGAGATTAGGAGCCTCCAAGTGTGGTGGAGCAATCTCCATCACAACATGCTCTTCCCGGAGGGGCCTGATCCTCCTCACATCCTCACCAGGTGCCTGGCCTGGGCCAGGACCTTGCCAAGGTTTTTAGAGATGCTCTGGGGCCAGCTGCTGAGGATCAACTGGGCACCCAGCCAGACCCAGGCATGTTCTCTCATGTGTCCTGTGCTAGGCTCAAGAGAGGACATGTCTAGCCATGTGCCAGGTGAGCAGCGGGCACAGCTGAAGGGGTAAGGAGAGTGACACTGTCCCCACATCCCAGTCACCCTGCCTCTGTGAGCAAAGCACCAGCCCTCCTGGAGCATGCTGGAGATTTCCATTTCCATAAAGTACACGGGTATGTGCACCACCCGGTCCCAGGTTGCCTGGCTGTATCTTGGTTCCTCCAGCTTCTGGCTGTGTGACTTGGTTGTCCATCTCTAAAGGGATTAGCATATAGGGTTCTTGTGAGGCTGCCATGACCACACACATGAAAGGCTGAGAGTCGTGTGTACCATGGGGGCATTACAGACAGATGGTTACAAGCTCAGCAGGTTCCCAAGTACAGGTTGAATATCGAGGGAGAAACTTGTTGCAGGTAAACGCAGAGAAAGAGCTTCTTCTTTTTCTAAGAT